CACCTTAAAGAGGTGTGGACTGCACCCCCCAAAATCCAACAAGAACCCCAGCCAGCATGGGGAATTCTGGGAGTTGAAGTCCATACGTCTTCAAGCTGCCAAGGTTGAGAAACTCTACTCTATAGGTTGTAGGCTAGCCAAGGAAGTTGAAGATCATCTCAGAAGTAGATGATGGCAACTCCTTTCTTAGCATTGTCAAGAAAATCACACAGGTGGAAGAATGTAGTCATCTGGAACTCAAAGATTGTAGCTAATCATTAGCTCTTCTAGCAGCAAATGAAATTAACCACATATTGTGTTTGAAAGATTTGGGAGGGGAGGGAGGCAGCATGGCTGTTTGAATCTATTTTGCATTAGTGCATTAAAATAATAGCCCCTTATCCTTCATTGGTCCATCAATATCCAAGTTGTTGGATGCAAGACCGGGGATGCAAGACCAGTGTTGACCAACCTGTTTTGCAGATCTGTATCATATGTCTGTGGAGTCCATAACTTCCTATTTTCCACTTCACGAAAATCATCCTTAAGGCCAATGGTGTGGCTCGTGGTCCTCTGTCTAGTACCTTCAGCATTTCTGGGTTCGATCAACATAACTCTCTTCACTCTGTGTCTTTTGGCAGATACAGTTTCATCTGATGGAATTGTGTACACGGCATTCCTTTTCGTCCCGATTCCCATTGGCTTTTTCTTCAAGAAAAGGGGTGAGTGCTGACATCACAACACTCCTCATAGGAAACCGTCCTGAATTTTATGCCTTCAAGGACTGCCTGATCGGAGCCTCCGAGCAAGTTTCAGAGAGCAGCTCTGCCAAGTTACAGGAGCTTGGACGATGGAGGATCGTTCTTTGGATTTGTGATGGGGCTGGTTCTGGGGAAAAGGGGGCAATAATAAGAATTCCAGATGAGACTAGAGTATGGCCAGATTTATTCATACTCAGCAAAGACTTGTTTTAACCATGGTTAACTAATTAAGCCACAGTGGTGATGTTCGTGCATTATGCAGAGTTATAGGTCTTCCATCCAACTTTGTTGAATAAACCACATCAAGCTAAACCATAAAGCCTGGTTCACAGGCCATAATGGCTG